AAGTGTATACTTCGCAAAAGCACGGGCGAGTGCTTTCTTGCAACTAACCTTTTGACTCCCAACGAAAGAATCAATCGTAACAGCAATCGCTCGATCAATATCCTGCGCAGAGACATATTCAGAAAGTCGCATTCGACAGAATGCTTCACTGATACGCATGATGGCTTCAAGATGGCGAACCTAAAGGTTATGTTAGCCATGTAGAGTGGATTGAGAGATTGGATTTACTTACAGTGATAGGATAAGCTCCAGTCGCTAATGATTCTCTTCTCATATCTGCAAAGAGCTTGGAAACTTTCTCTTCATCGATATTGTAGAGCTTTGGACTGCATCTCTCTCTAGCATAAAGAATGTATTTTCGAAGCAATTCTTGCTTGATCTCGCCTTCTTGTTTTGGCTCGCCACCATTGATGGCACTATCGCGCATTTCAGCGTCATGCTCTGTTTCCATAGAGGCTTGATTTTCATCCGTAGGTTGGCTTCCCGGGTGAGAACGACCGTGAGAACCCACGACGAATCTAGCGAGTCTTTCATCTTCCGCCGGGTCGACAGTATCACGAACAACGCAAAGAATGTCGAAACGAGACAAAATTGGCTCGGTGAGCTCAACGTTCTGTGAGAAGGGGATGGTTGAATTGTAACGTCCACCAATTGGATTTGCTGCCGCAATAATACCACATCGAGCCTGGAGTGTTGTGACGATACCAGCTTTAGAGATTGAAATAGTTTGTTGCTCCATAGCTTCGTGAATGGATGTTCGATCTTGATCGTTCATCTTATCGAACTCATCGATGAGACATGTTCCTCTATCTGCAAGCACCAAAGCGCCACCTTCCAAAGTCCACTCACTAGTAAGAGGATCTTTGCGTACACTTGCCGTGAGACCGACGGCACTAGCTCCTTGACCAGTAGCAAAGACAGCTCTGTGAGCCGTCTTTTCTACATACTTCAGAACTTGAGATTTTGCTGTTCCAGGATCTCCAAGAAGTAGTACATTGATATCACCACGGATATGATGCTTTCCTTGAGCGACCTTGGCAACTCCACCCATCAGTGACAGGGCCACGGCTGTTTTGATATCAGTATGGCCATAAATACTTGGAGCAATGGAATTGATAATTTTATCCACAATTTGAGGATCCCGAGAAAGTGCGCGAATCTCGTGCTCGTCTTCTTCTGTGAGTCTGAATCCAGCAAGTTGATCGTGAGATTTGACAACATTATTGGCCTCTAATATTGTTGCAAATACAGGGAAACCATTTCGATTGTTCAATTGAGCATCGTAGTTATTACGGTACACACCCGTGACTTCAATCTCCTCACCGGGCTTGGCTTTGTCAATAAGATCCCAGAGAAGAATAACTTCACGATGACGGGGCAGACGGCCAGCAGGAACAGTGCCCGGGGATTCTTGGAGAGTCAACTTTTGATAGTTGCGATAGACAGTCTTTTCTGAGTTGAGGTTGAAAGGACCACGAGATTGACAATTTGCACAGAAAGAAATCTTAACTTCGACATTAGACTCTTGTTGGAAAGGGCCAAGTCTTGTATGGCATTTGGAACAATCGAACATGACATATTTCAATTGGGGAAATACACCACTTCGGCGAGTAACCACACCGCTGACTCTAACGAGACAATTCAAATGTGTCTGGCGAAGTTGTCGTAAAGTATAATGAACGGGTAAATCGGTAATTCGAACGTGAATCTCGGAATGGATTTGTTGGTAATCGTTATAATGTAAAAGTGTGACCTCCATAGCAACCTCATCGAATAATTGAAGCATCTCACCTGGAGCATTCGCCAAGAAATATGCGAGGATCGCTTTTGAGGCAGATAAATGGTCATATGAAACCTCTAATGACTCTGCGTTAATCTCTCCCAGTGTCTTGATACGGCTACCATAAACAGAAACTCCATGGTCGTCGGTGTACTCGGTAAGAAAAGCTTTGAACTCCCTCCGAATAGTTCTTTGAACGGATGGTGTAGCAATCCACTCTACCAGACTGGATGACTTGACGTCCTGCAATGTCTCAAGAGACAATTCTTCCTCCATAATATCTTCCTGCATGTCTTCATCTTCGTCTTCGTCATAATGATGGCGTCTACGTCTTGGTTGATTCATTAAATCCAAGTCTCCATCTTCATCTTCATCTTGCAAGAAAGCAGCTGGCATACGACGCTGCCTAGCAAGCTCTCTATCACGGCGATTCAATCTGGCTTCGAGCTGTCTTCTGGCCGCAGCGTCGAGTTCATCGTATTCTCCTTCGTCATCAATATCCGCACCCTCGTAATTTGTATTGTCCCGGGCATTGTAATCTCGTTCATAATTGCCACCGAAGAGATCAATTCCATCCTCGTCTTCCGCCATCTCATCTGCATCATCGATATCGACAGCAATCTCAACATCATCCTCTATCTCGTCATCATCCTCGTCTTCGACACCGTGCCGGATTGGTGCTGGTGGGGAGGATCTGAAATCTCCAGGCGGACTAGAAGGTGCGGCACCGCCCGGCAAATCATCATCTTCTGGCTCTCTGGAGCGCTTGCGACGATTTCGACCCCCATCGACACCACGGTTGGCTGATGACATGTTATTTCGCAGAGGGGAACTATTGGGTGCAAACAGTCAATAGAGTTCAGGGGTAAATAATGATTCAGAGCTGTGGGTTTTATGCTCGAGATAGCAAATTATTCTCACCTCATAGTATATTAGAAGACTGAAGTCTCGTGAAGTATTAGAAAACGTTACAAGTGAAGTTAAACCAGTGCGGGTTGTTAATTGTGCTGAAGTTCACTTTGAGCAAGGTTGAAGTGCTTGCATAAATTAATGGTAGGGGAAAACACGTAAAATCTGCCGTCAGTACGCGACGCGGCAAGCTAAACCCATTGTAAGACCGAGCGCGTAAAGTGGTTCTTGGCGTTTTGGCGGCCGCATCATTGCGATAAGCCAGCTCTACTTTTTAAATCAATTAATTAACCTTTTACAACTCTTCTTGTATTTGACGTCTCGAGCTAATAATGGAACCTCCATCTGATTCTCAGTCGAATGAGGCCTCTGTAAATCAAACGGGTGGCGCCTCAAGAAGTCATAGTTTCTCCTCTCAGAAGCCGAACGATTCACACACAGCAGCTGAGTATGCGATTTCCATTCCTACCGGTATTCGCGATTGAATTACATACTCATATATATATACCAGATTCATCAGCACGCAACTGAAGCTCGAAGCGGAAGCGCGCGAAGCATTGCCATATGTACTAACAGGGTCATCTTTCAAATGCTTGAAAACTGTACTGATTGGCTTGAATAGAGTATCGATACCTGCACAAAGCCTCTTGGATCTCTTCGACAAATTCTATTTGCTTGTTTGACATGCAATCCTGCTCCAACTAATGCGTCTGATCCGTACAATCCTGCTGGCATCTGTTATTCCTGTTCCATACAATGTCATGGCGAGCACAATCTCGTGGAACTATTCAATAAACGAAACTTTACTTGCGATTGCGGCACAACACGTTTTCCAGAAACTTCGCCTTGTAGCTTGCGCATCAATTCAGAGACAAATACAAAGGGCAATGTACATTCAGAAGCTCCAGAACTGAAAAACAAATACAATCACAATTTCAGAAATCGATTTTGTGGTTGCAGATGCGACTATGATGCTTATAAAGAGAAGGGCACCATGTTTCAATGCTTGGGTCTAGGTGGTGTTGATGAAGGTGGCTGTGGCGAGGATTGGTGGCATCCTGGATGCATTACAGGTTTAGGACCAAAATGGTATGAGAGTATGAGTGATAAAAACTCGCCAAAGAAGTTCAAAAAAATCAATGAAGGCACACTGGAATCTATTACAGAAGTTGCAGAACCAATTACAGTCAAACCAATCAGAGATGGAACGAACGCGAATTCAAGTGAAGTCGAGGCACCAAAATCCATTGCAGCAGTCGACCAAGAAGAAGACGAAGAAGAGGAGGAAGAAGACCCGCCCTTACCTCCAGGATTTCCCGACGAAGACGATTTTGAAGGATTCATCTGCTACAAATGTGTTGATGCGAATCCATGGATCAAAAGATATGCTGGTGCACCGGGTTTCCTCTCTCCCGTTTTCAGAAGAAGTGCAGCTCCTTCTCCTGAGAGTGAGACCCCTCCCAAGTCTACGAATTTCCTTGCGCCATCGATCTTAGAATCTAGAAAGCGCAAGTCAGAAGATGACGATATTTCGACTTGTTCTTCAGCTTCGAAGCGAATCAAGAGTGAGGAAGGAGAGAGGTCATTAGACAAAGGTTCTAACGGCAGCAATGATAGCAAACCCCCAGCATGCAAATTGGAGGCATTACCGAAGGTACTCGATGGTCAAATCTCATTATTTTTTACATCCGACTTTCGCGATTACCTCTGTCATTGTTCAGACTGCTTCCCAGAACTAGCAAAACACCCACAGCTCCTCGAAGAGGAAGAAACATATGAGCCTCCAGTATCAGACGACGGAGATGAAGGAGGAAGCACAGTCGGTAGCGGGAGCATATATGATCGTGGCGAAAGTGCTCTCAAAAATGTTGATCGTGTTCGAGCGATTGAGGGTGTAATGGCATACAATCATTTGAAGGATAAACTCAAACCGTTTTTCCAAAAATTCGCAGAAAGTGGTCAAGCTATCAGCGCAGATGATATCAAAGAACACTTTGCAAAGATAAGGGGTGATGAGCAGGCGATCAAAGATGCTGGTGAAGGAGCCAAGGCGGAAGGCAACAGGAAGGAGCAAAGTGGCTATTGATTGACGGGTCGTGGTATCTGTTTTTGATAATGTACGATAGGGAGAATTATTCTTAATGAATTGTTATGACTTATAAATTGTAAACTTCTAACCCAATGAAATTTTCCTTCTTGGTATATCCATCGATGTTACTTTTTAGTAACGTTACGTCAAGTTGCATCACAATATTTCGTCAACGATTCTTAGATCAATCTGCCATCATTCAATCATTGCATATGCAAGATTATGTCGACTTCATGGTCTGAAGAACGTGTGGAGAGTACAGGAGCTGCGGCAATAAAAGACGAGGTCAAGGACGCGCTAGATTTGTCTGCAGACGAATCCGCTCCATCTGATCTCAAAGGACTTTTTCGGATAGGGAGCATTAGACCAGATCTCGATAGTGGCCTGCTTGATTCTGAGTGTCATTGGGGGTCAGAAAGACCAACGAACTACGATTATTTGACATACAACCTTCGGAAAAAACGAGGAAGTCCTCCTCCTAGCGAAGAACTATACGAATCATTTAGGTTTGCTGCTGCAACCATGAATGGCAACGAATCTGCAATATTCAATGCAGCGAAGGTCTTCTTTAAAGATCGGGACAAGATTGATGGAAATGAAATTAGAAAACATGGTCAGATGATCCAGCGGGAGTTTGAGTCACCCACGCCGTACCTGGTCGGAGGATTTCGCGTCGGTCAAGAATATCTAGAAGAATTGTATGAAAGGTTCGACGGAGCGGCCGATACGACCAGGGACGAACGGACACAATCACCAGCACATTCTGCAGAGCAGCGCACGCCTAATGATACTTCATTTGGCTACGTAGCCGCTCGTCTGAGATGTATAGGGGCATACTTTGTTGAGGAACGACGACTAGCTATTCGCTGTTTGAAGAGATGGTCCCCCAATGCAGCATACTACCGGTTTGACGAGAAAGATCATGCCCACGTCTTTACTTTCATAATCAGTGAATCTTGCATTACTCTCTTCGCAAATTTTGGTCGAACAGGCTCGAATGTAGAGGCACAGGATGAAGCTGGAATATATCTAGAATATCACATGTCCGAGCTTCTCTGCCTTTCTCCAGCGACATCGTATGAAACATTCAAGGAAGCATGGACAGCACTGAGAAATGCCGAAGAATATTCGAAACAGCCATTCGTTCCGATCGACCTGGAAAAGCAAAAAAGCGTGCAGGTAGCTGCGTGGGAAGCCTTTGATACAGAGAAGAAGAACGATGATACAGAGGATTTTAAGTCAGTGCTTGCTCGCAGGCGGATGCTGGCTATTGAGGCGTGGAGGTCTGAGGAGGAAATGATTAAAAGTAGGAGGAACCTCGATGGGATGGGGCCAGATGACAGGGAAGCCTATTTCAAATTGCAGCAAGTGAGGTATCACTGAGTTCCAATGGCGCGTCAAATAAATAAGATAATTGAATTCCAATAGCTATTAATCCATAATGAATATAAACATTTCTAACGAGAATGATATCAAATGAAGATGATTTCTAACTAGCGTGCCACAATCCTAGAAACAATCGACTGGCAGTGATCCTATTAACAAAATATTTTACGTTAACAACGCAGGCAACTTTATAAATACATCATCCTGAAGAATTCACAATACAATCTAGCCCTAATGAAATTTCTTTAATGTGAGGAAGTAGAACTAGTTCACCAGACGCATGGGTGAATAGTCTTGGAGAATTTGGTGATGAAAGTTGACGTTCACGAGGTTGGGATAATCTAGTATTTTGTCGCGAAGCCATCTCGATGATACCAAATCTTTCTGTATCTCTACCGACGGGGTGATCAACACTATTGTTATCGGCCCAGGCAGATATGCGATTCCGAAGTCCTGGATCTTTTGCTGTGGGTGGTTTTCCAAGATGTGTAACTTTTAATAGTACATTTAAGCGGTGCTTCCATTGAGAATTATGGCTTGGAAGACCGGCCTCTCGGTTCTCGTCGGAGATTTTGTCTCGTTCGTCTATTTTGAATGTTAAACGAATCTTAAAATGTATGTGTCCAGATACTCACCCAAATAACCCTCGAGTGCAGCAATTATAGGAAGAGCTAGGAGAATACAGGCAACAAATTGGCCAAATGTCCATGCATTCTGCTGTTCGATGAAGTCTTCGGTGGTCTCTAAACCTGGATATCGGGTTATATCCCTGAATACAAGGGCACGCCTAAAGCCGAAACCCAGTCCGAGTAAGATTGGAGGAATAGGTATCACCCAAAACGATACTATTACCGTCTGAAAGGCGTAAGCTAGCCACAAACACAATCTCTCGCGATCAGTGATGCAGAGAATTTTCAAACACCGACTGTAAATGGAGAGACTGAGACCATTCCGTATGCACTGTGGAATGCATTGGAGAAATGCTTGGAAGAAAAGGAAGGACAAGGTAGCGATACGAAGTTGATGATCATAGCCGTGATATGGAAATTGGGCCGCACATCTCGCTAGACAAGCTGCTGCTTCTCCAGATACATGCTCGCTGTTGTACGATCTATACATACCAGCTGTGTTTCCAAAGCTTCTTGCTCGAGATTGTGCGAAGATAAAAAGTATGAAATTGCCGATGTATCCACAGAATCTAATTCCAGCCAATACGTGATTTTGCAAAAAATGATCGCCCATGGAAACGAAAGCTACTGTATGTGTAAAGCTAGAAAACCAAGCTAGATACACGATGATATTATAATGGTAGGCGCTGATCGTTTGAAAATTGTAAAGTCCGGCAATCATGACAGCGGAACTTGTCACTAGTTGTTGATCCGCAAGTGAAAGGATAAGGGGGGTCACAGCCGCGTTTATAAGCCTGTATCTGGGCATGTTTGGTTTGTCGGAATATCGGAGAAGGATCCATCGCCTGTAAAATCGTATCTTCTCCTTGGCCGCGTGATACAGATTCGCCGCTGTACCTTTAGTGGATTGGTGATCAAAATCGTGATATTCCGGCTTTGCGTGTTCAGCATATTCGTAAGAATGAAGTGCGAGTTGGCATGGAAGACGTATGACTGCGGCCGAGAGTGTTAAAAGCGCCGTTGCAAGGAAGGAGATGTATATCTGCCTGTAGATTAGAAACACCGTTCGATACAGTCAACTACTAACGTCTTGAGTGAAACATACGCCAACTCCTTCAATTTCAATGTCAGCTGAGAGTGGACCGCAGTTGTTTGGAAAATTGGAGCATGTGTTCTTATCAAGAGAAATACTCATGGTTTTGGATTCAGTGTCAATTGGGAATTAGTTTCTGACTTCAGATACCGGAAAATGGGCAGAAATTGGCTCGATTTGTTTAGCGGAGTATATCTATGTGACGGCATTAACAAGAGAAGAAGGAGCAAACATATCCATATGTATGGGCTAGCAACAATGATAATGATTGTACTTGTAAGGATAAAGCAACTGCGAAGAGAATTGCATCTTTAATCCTCGCACTTGCTCTGAAATAGGACATCGCTCCAGAAAGACTAACGGAGCTACAGATAATGCCCATGGTTAACAAGGAGGTAGAATTGAGATAATCGGGAGTTTGGTATGTTACGATGAAAGGGAATTGGCCAAATCGCAGGAACCGAGACAATTTTGACTTCAAATTGGTTACCTTCTAGGTCGGTGGCAAACCAAAGTCTTCAACCAGTCTTCCCAGTGGACTAAAAACAGGACAAGCAGCTTGGAGTAAAGAGATACATGTAAGAATGCAGCTCATTTGGAGCCACAAGCTGTTGAGTCAATTTTTATATTCTTCAGAGTCCATACATGCGTCCGTCGCTTGGTGACAGGGGAGTTCAGACGTAGACGCCTCCACCAATCACGACAACGCCGATTCAGGACACTGACACTAGTCAAATATGGGACTAGCGTGGCATAATGATAGTGACCGCTTTGAATCCTTGACGTTGATAGGTTATCGGGAATTCTGACGGTTGCGCAATAAAATCTAGAGAATTGTTTGAATTTCTCAATATTCAAAAAGAAATCAATGAATTCTTGAGCCATGTTGTTGGTATGTATAGTTTATTCTGAAATAATTCCTTTCGCTGATTTTTGCTTTGCTAGAGAATTGGTCCAAAGGGCCTGCGAGTCAGGGCTTCCCGTCCTTTACACGAAATGGGAGCTCTCCGCGGAGGCTATCGTGCATATACGGCGACGGCGAGACGTTGGCAAGATGTTTTTCACTCGCAGACTGAAGATCCAAACTCTTCGGCCATTCTTTCTTCCCTGAAAACTACGCCTCGTGTTGCGCAGACACTCACCGAGAAAATTGTTCAACGATACTCCCTCGGACTTGCGAAGGATAAGGTTGTAAAGTCTGGAGGTATGTAATTAGCATTCTACACTACAAGATTCGGAAGACCTACGTCTGCCGGCTTTCATTTGCTCTTGATTCAAATTCAAGCATGTATATATGCTGATATTTTCACAGATTATGTTACTCTCTCGCCTCATTACTGCATGACCCATGAGTGAGTCAACAAATCCAAAGTTATCGCTCATTAATTCTAATAATATCTAGTAATTCCTGGCCTGTTGCGACCAAATTTATGTCTATTGGTGCTACCAAAATCCACAATATCAATCAAATTGTTTGCACTCTTGATCACGATGTACAAAATAAAAGCGAAACGAATCTTAAGAAATACAAACAAATTGAGGAATTTGCACGCCAGCAAGGAGTGGACTTTTACCCCGCAGGACGAGGAATTGGACATCAGATTATGGTAGAGGAAGGATATGCTTGGCCTGGAACTGTCACTGTCGCTTCAGACAGTCATAGCAACATGTATGGTGGTATTGGATGCTTGGGCACACCTATGGTACGAACGGATGCCGCAAGTATCTGGGCAACAGGTCGAACCTGGTGGCAGATTCCACCAATCGCTAAAGTCACCCTCACTGGAGTTTTACCAATCGGGGTTACAGGGAAAGATGTTATTGTTGCACTTTGCGGTCTATTTAACAGTGACGACGTCCTCAACCACGCTATCGAGTTCACGGGATCGGAACAAACAATGCGCAGTTTACCCATCGATGATAGACTTACTATTGCAAACATGACAACAGAATGGGGTGCTTTGTCAGGTTTGTTTCCAATTGATTCAGTTCTCGAGAAATGGTTGAGATATAAGGCTACCACAAGTGCAATGTTTGCCTCAAACAACGGCAAAGAACCCCGATTCACGCATGCTCGCATCGACGACTTGGTTCAAAATCAACTTGTGGCAGATAAGGGAGCTACCTACGCCAAATCTTTGTACCTCAATCTTTCGACTCTCTCTCCTTACGTCGCTGGTCCCAACAGTGTCAAAATCGCCACGCCCATCCGCGATCTGGAAGCGCAAAAGATCAAACTCAACAAGGCATACCTCGTATCATGTACCAACTCTCGTGCTTCCGATCTTGCTGCTGCTGCCAAGGTTTTCAAGGACGCTGCTGAGTCTTCTCCCAATAAGACCATTCCAAAAATTCCCGAAGGTGTCAATTTCTATATCGCTGCTGCTTCCATTCCCGAGCAAGAAGCCGCCGAAGAAGCGGGTGACTGGCAAGCTCTTCTCGCAGCTGGTGCACAACCATTACCATCAGGATGCGGTCCATGTATTGGACTCGGTACTGGTTTATTAGAACCAGGTGAGGTTGGTATCAGCGCAAGTAACCGAAATTTCAAGGGGCGTATGGGATCTACCGATGCAAAGGCATATCTGGCTAGTCCCGAAGTTGTCGCTGCGAGCGCTCTTAGTGGCTATATCTCAGGTCCCGGATGGTATCAGCCACCGATTGGTGTTAACAAGGTTGTCCTTGGGGAAGGTAATGGAAATGTCGAAGAAGATAAAGCTATGAGTATCGAAGAAGCACTTGAGAAACTTATCTCACAAGCAGAGTCGATCGTTGATGGAGCTGAGTCTAGTCTCTTTGGTACCTCTTCAAAACCCGAGGAAACTGATTCCGAATCATTGACAGAGATTCTTCCTGGTTTTCCAGAAAAGGTTGAGGGTGAGATTGTTTTCTGTGACGCTGATAACGTCAACACAGATGCTATCTATCCAGGCAAATATACCTACCAAGATGGTGTCTCGGTTGAGAAGATGGCTGAAGTATGCATGGAGAACTACGATAAAGAATTCCGCACGATCGCTCGTGAAGGTGACATCCTAGTCTCCGGCTTTAACTTTGGATGTGGCAGTTCTAGAGAACAGGCTGCTACTGCCATCCTCGCCAAGAAGATACCCATGGTAGTTGCTGGAAGCTTTGGAAACATTTTTTCCAGGAATAGCATCAACAATGCTTTGATGGGAGTTGAGGTTCCAAGATTAGTACAAAGACTCAGGGAACACTTTGCTGCTTCTGCACCAGTGCCAAAGAAGGAAGTCACAGAGCCAAGTGAGAATAACGAAAGTCTTGACTCGCCAAAGCCAGCTGAACAAGCTGTGCCACAAGGAGAGAAGATCTTGACCAGAAGAACTGGATGGAAGTTTGTATGGGACGTTAGACGAAGCAAGGTAGAGGTACAGGAAGGTGAAGGTGGTGAGAAGTGGAGTCAGAAGGTTGGAGAGTTACCACCCAATGTGCAAGAAATCATTGCCAGAGGAGGTTTGGAAAAATGGGTTAAGGGAGAGCTCGCGAAAAACTAAGGAAGGTTCTCTTAAACTGGGATGTAGACCTGTAAACGCCATGTACACTTGTTAACTGATGAAACAAATATATCACGATGTCTCAGTAGGAGCTGGCCGATCACTCGTAAGACGAAGACATTGTAATTGGATAAACAGAAGGTAAACACCCCACAAGGTATAACAGTGAATGAAACCAGACTCAGGTTTTGGGCAGTGATGAAAATCAAAGACATAGACCCAGTGAGGATTGTGATATTTCCCCAAAAGAGTACCTAACCAGGTATATTCACATTCCCACCATTCAGCGCTGAGAAAGAGTGAATGGGGAGTTTGAAGCAATGCGGTGAATCCTTAATCAACATCTTTCCTTGAGAGGCCATATCTTCTAATTTCTTTGTTTTATGTGCTTGTAGCCCGAGATTTTCCAATCGATTGCCTTCCGTTCTTGATTCTATCTTTCCACAAATCTTCTAAAACTCAGATTAAGGAACGTCTCTTGAGAAAGTTTCCAACAACGGTCAAAAAAGAAAACCCGCAGTCATTATGTTTCTTTCATGGTGGATCACTTTCCCTTTGCTTTTTGGATGTGCAATTGGCCAAATCAATATTGAAACCTTGGTTCCAGAAACCTTGGTAACCTTATCAGCATCAGATGACACTCCAACTACAACCGCAATACAGACTTTGGTTCCCTTACTGGTCGATACTTCTACAGCACCTAGTTTTCCATCTACAACAGAGCCCCCATTTCCGTCTTCTTTGACTCAAACATTACGTAGTCTTAGTGGAAATGATTCTCAAGCTACTTCAACCACTTCTAGCCCAAACAAAATCCAAACTTCCGTCCCATCCTTGAGTACTCAAGCCTCTCCAAAAGAAACCGGATTCGGCACGCCAGAGCAATTCAGGATCCAGATTCTCAACGCCCAGAATTGGTATAGAGCTACACATGGTGCATTACCTCTTGTTTGGAATTATACTCTGGCTAATTCCAGTTCGGACTGGGTCGCAGGATGTGTATGGGATCTCGAGGTATGTTTTCCTATGCCGCCGCACATCTATATCTCAAGACATATTCACACGTCGGCAGTTATACTTACTTACATTCGAAATCATAGTCAACTCCTGGTATAGGAAAATCATTTGTATCTGTTATACCCACCAGCGTCTTCGGAATCGTTAACTCCTTGGGATTGGAACGCCAGTTTTATCATTGGTCGGAACCAGGAATGACGAATTCTACAAAACAGTTTACGCAGATGGTGTGGAAGAGCACGACGTCTGTGGGGTGTGCTTGGAATAACTGTCGTAAGTACTTCTTCTCTACTTAGTATTCTGTAATGATTATGCTGTTCTCTTATGCTTCAAATCCAAAAACCGACTATCACGGTAGTCAAGAACAAGAATGACACACTAACATAAACCCCCATCCCAGCACCCGGTTCATCACCAGACCCGGCTACACCTGGAGTTTCCCTATTTCTCCTGTGTCAATACTATCCCTAAGGCAACCAAGGAACTCCCGGAGACTGGAAGAATAATGTAGGAGAGCTAGAGGCTGGGAGTTTAGGAGAAGGTGTCGTTGCTGCTGATGGTTTTGGACTTAGTAGTTCAACTACTACATCTACTACCTTCAGCGGAAGAAGTGGAAATAGCGCAACAAGTACAACAAGCACTCATTCCACAGCAGCCACTGGAAAAGATGTTCAAAGTCGGGCGGATAGGCTAGATCAGGGTCTGGTTGCCGTGGTTATCACCTCGGCTTTTGCTATTGGTTTGGCTGCCTGTTGTCCTTTCATTTTAGTGCCTCTGTTCTTTTCTGTTTGGTTCGCAAATACATAGCCGGATTGGAGGTTTCTGCTTGCGCAATGGAAATCGATGATATGGGATCGGTAGCCTAGGTGAACAACATGACCAGGTCTCGCTAGTAGAGACTGGGTTTAGTCCGCCGACACAATTTCAAGTCTTGATGCTAGAGGCGTAAATCAGTACAGAAGTAATTCAATGCTAAGCCAGGTCTATAGAATGAAACTCTTGCTGCTTGCTGTCAGTGAAGCTTAGGTTAAATGGTGTCTTTAAGTTTTGCTCTCTCAAATGTAACGTAACACCCATGGCGTACTGTGGATTTTTATTTCGGCACGGAAGCTGGATTGTGTGTACATTACGTGGTCTACTCCAGCTAATGGAAAGGCAATATACAAGAGGGCAAAAGTGATGAGCATCTTTGATATTACAAATATTCGTTCGGAACAGTCTTATTATCTCCAAGCAGGCGATGATATCACGTAGAATACAACAGCTTCCACTCACACATCGCAAAAAGACACAACACAATTTATATATGTCTAGAACACTAATCGCAAATTCCTCTTTGCTATCTAAACGCCATATTTCAAGCATCGAATTCATACCCATTATCTTAACGCGTGTCCATGATTGAAAATTAAGACTCTTGAACCTTCCAAGTTTACATAAGTGTTCTGATACGAAGTCGGATTTAGCCATGGGAGCTTACTTCACAAACATGTACCAACAAGTTAGCTTGGAATGTAATCATGATATGCTAGTACTTTTCATCATGAAACGCAGTGAGGAGTTTTGACCAATGTTCAATGGACCAATGATATTGGAAAAGTTGGTACTGAACATAGGCAGATCAATGTCGATATTTTTTGTCAGATTCATTTGATTGCTATTAACTTTTGCTAGCCACTGCTAAATGTTTCCTACCATTGAGCTTTGCTAAAATGCAATCTTCCTTCCCGATAGTAAAATGAGTGAATTCCCGATTTGAAATATCATTCTCGCAATGTAGGGAAAGAAATCTCAAATTTAGATGTGCAAAAGCAAATCTAACGCCGTTTCATCCCGGATTCACCATAAATAACTCACCATTGCAACTTGAGACCACTGTCACAAGATCATTATCCCATCCCCTCCTATCCAGTCTTCGTCATACGATCAATAGCCCATTCACATTCCTCTAAAATCCCAAATATTTATTTCCAATCTCGACAGCCTTTTCAACACCAGCTCCCTTCTCACTTTCAACAACGAATTTACTTAAGCCCATAGCTCTCAATCCCTCTTCACCAGTCCAAGACTCAACTTCTTCGAGACCTGGTCGACCAATATGCTCACTCTCGCCCTTTCCACCTGGGAAATCTGGACCTGGGACGCCGGAGAGGAAGGTATCGCGTTGACGGGCAAGTGCTTCGGCATTGATGGGGGTGAGAGGGCAGGCGGGAATATAAAGGACGGAACTGTCGAATTTACCAGCATGATTTTTGTCTACGGCGTGGATCACTATAAAGTAATAACATTAGTCTACGTAACTGTGCAAATATTTTAACAAGATTCGATAGGTAGAAGACTTACTATCGCAGTGCCAAGCAACGTAGTCACCTGGATTAATCTTTGGAATATGAACCATAGTGTTCTTTAGATCCAGATGTGGATGAAGCTTTTCGGTCATCTCCTGTCCGTGACTTGGGGTAGCACCATGAAGAGCAGTAGTCATCTGATCAGTTGGAATCAATTTCCAGTTCTCGGGACTGAGATATTCCGCAGTATATTCATCCTCCTTTCCCTCCGGCAATTCTTTAATAGGCTCAAAGAAAGGTCGGAGCAAGAAGTAAGCAGTGGTAAGCTTGATAAGTGGATTGACCTTCAATGTGCCTTCTCCAGGCGCAGTGTGGGACATGCTGAGCCAGGCTTGGAACATGCGGAACATGGAGCAGCTTCCTCCGCCGTAATAGAGATCGCTAACAGCAGGGACACGTGATGAAGACTCGAAAGGATCAAATTCTTCCCACTTTCCTTGGAAAATTGTGTCATATACTCCGTTGATTCCGTAGCCATTGGGTTCCCAGCGTTCTACGGATCCACCATCGGCGTGAGGACCGAGAGCAAAGATGGCATCACCGGGTTGACGGATGCGGACACGGTCAGCGTAGGTGACTGGTTGAGAAGATGAAATTGGTGAGTTAGGGTCGGCGGAGTGCCAGAGGCTGAGGAGGAACTTTTGGGCAATGATCATGTTTGGATGACCACGAGCTTTGACTTGTGGTGGTGACCAGTAGAGCTCGTAGACTTGTGGATCATTGGCTGGGAAACCTGTTGCTGTCAGCTTTGTTCGACTGTGATTGTTTGCTTGATACTCGAGCAGAAGATTGTCCGACAAATTTGGGAAAGTATGAATGGAAGAGAATTTATAATGAAACCATAAAGAGAACTTACCTTTAGTACTGGGGTTCAACTTCACATAATCTTCGACCTCCTCCTTATAACGTCTGGCAGTTGTCTCATTCAGGACACCTTTAATAACAAGTGCACCCTTATCTCTCATATCCTTCAATAGCTCGTCACTTACGTTCTTCTCAAGAACATCCTTAAAAGTCACACTCGGGATAATCTTCGGGCCCGACTCCGCGACTTTCCGATTTTCGACCGCAAGTTGCTCAATAAGGCGAGTGAAAGATGCTTGAACGGCCTCCTCGTGGCCGCGGATAAGATTGCGCTTGATATCAGCAAATCGCTCCGGGAGTGGTGTAGGCTTGGCGCCAGAGAGTGAGACGAAGACAGAAGAGATATCGCCTTCTTCCTTTGGGTTCATGGCATTCATGGAAGACATGTTGAATGATTTAGCTTGTGTTGTGAGGGTGCGAATTGCGAACTTGGGGTTATGGTTGACAAGAGAGGATTTATGGGTGGTTAAGTTGGGTTTGTGTTTAAGAAGAGAAGATGCTTGGCGGCAGGAGGAGACGAAGCGCGCGTGAGACAACATAGAGACGAATGCGAGCTTGAGACTACTTTCTATGCTCTGAGATGTGGATAAGTTGTGAATGCTCTCTATGCCGAGAATTTAGATTGAATATCAGGTACAGAGGGATTCGAAAGTGAATGTATCGAATACTTCAAAAACAACAGAAATTCTGGTTGGATGCTTGCAATTGCTCGTAAGGGAAAGTTTATGTAGAGAGTGTTTGGTCTGTAGAAAGAAACGAAAGTTCTTTTGAATGAATACAAAAAATGCATGCAGAAAGTCAGTACACTTCATGCATATTAGTGAATCTCATACGGCGCGAGTTGTTTTGGCGGCATACCCTATTTGAGAAGTCCGATGACCAAGTGTGGCTGTGTATGGTGGTCCATCGTGGATGGATGGATCCATGGATTATCCAGGAACCGGTGCACAGACAACAAAATTTGATGGCGGGGTAACCTTAAGGTTAGCATGAATCGAATTTGGTAGGTTTGCCGGGCAATTCTCAGAATGAAGCTTTGGCATGTAATTTGATACCGGTGACGATGATGACAATAGCATCTTGAGAATTGGATTTGCTTCGGAAATGCGACGTGACAGATGTGTAACAACTGGTGCTTGAACAGCATCCCGCCTCACATATGACCCTGCTTATCTACCAAGCAAAACAAAAGCCAGGATCAATTGTCAGTATGGTGTATGTCTTTCACTCTACTCATCCATTGATTTTAGGGCTGGGGGATTGAGATAGTGGCCCACCATAATGTGCTCGATATTCCTATCAGAAAATCTGAATTGATACAGCCAATAATGGGACAACAAGAGGCGTGGCTACCCGAGTCCGAGGTAGTGCAACAAATCAGTTGTGTACGAAGCAAGTTCGCATTCAATTATGCCGCGAAATTCTGATTATCATGGTGTGTTCCCCAGCTATTAGCTTTGAAGAGTGCTTTATAAGACGAACTTTAGTAGAACGAGATGATACTTGGTTAACATTGGGGAAAAGTCAATTGAGCTGTCGATATATATTTTCGGGCTAGGACGATAGGGGTCAAATTGCTTGTGATTAGTTAGTAATGAAGATCAGAAAACAAGCAACGGCTCATACAGGTGAGACAATCTCAATCATATGTGCATTTGGCTATTGATCAAATGTAACTTTGAGCTCATCATTTCCATGTGGTGGGTGGATTTCATGACAAACAGCCCAACAACTTTGCCATGCCTCTTCAAGTGTCAGTTCCGGAGAGTTCGGCTTCCAGCATAATGCACTGCGGAGAAATATTGAGGGGGAAGAATCAATGACAGGCGGCGTCTGAGCCTTTCCTAGACTTCAAAACACCGATGCAGCTCTACTTACATACTTCAAGCGTCGGGATCAACAGTGGTGGGCCATTGCGACACAAGTTATAGGACAAGGCCAGGCTTAGAAGGCAATTATTCAGCACCTTGTGAAAACTTCCACGTACTTCATCGACAAAAACCACACCGTGTATAGCTCATATATTCGGCCAATCGTGCAGCTGCGTTCTCCCAGACTTTTCACATATTCAGATTCCTGGCCGCAAAAGTTCTCCTGAAGACATGAGCCGACTGCCCCCCAAAAATACCAAGATATCATATCAACTCCCGTCTTCAACTAAACCTTGTGGTAAGTTGCTGTCACTCTTTTAGAATAGTTCATGCACATCGTGCAGATGTTTTAACGAATGCGAAAGGCTAAGAGATGGTATCGAACTGCTTGAGTGGGGAATGTAAATGGTCCATTGTATATTCCGTTATAGAATGAGAAGGCAAACCTTATGTAGACTCAATTAGATATATGGGACCTATTTACAGAACAAATGGCGTCAATCTGCGACACGCAGTTGTTGATGCTCCTCACAAACGTCGCCTTATTGGTTCTCGATTGTCGCGATGGTGAGATGGAAATGATTGAAGCGGCACGCCATGGACCATGGTTGGGTCACATTCAGGATTGTATTCGAACGCTCAGATGTTAGTATCTCGTCGATGAACGGGTTTAGATTTCACAGTCAGAAAAGTTTGGTCGATACTTAATAATCTATTTCGAGGTAAGATTTATCTCGTCCAGAATCCTCGGTCCGAGCCTGATTATGTAAGGCTTTTTTTGCATTGCATGATTGCACTAGCCAGACCAGCCAGTACCTTCTAGGCAATTACCTACCTTGGTATGCTCAGCTCAACAACCTTTTCAGCAATCATCGGACGTACAAAGACTTCCTTCAGATCCCTCCCGGCTGGATGATTGAGCCTTGAGGACGATTTGATAATCCACTCAGAACATTGAAGGATGCTATAAAGGTTAGGCCTGGCGTAAGATTATGTGGCTTTGGAATTCGATTCTTCCCTCGATAGATATCTAACCTCAAGGTGCTATTGCCTCGTCGACTTTGAAGCAGAACACCAAGAGTCCTAAGGGCCTTTCGTTTGTCTTGATAGAAAGATAGATGTTGTACCAAGAGCTAAACGTATTCGGAAACTCCGCTCACGTTTAAGGTTAAGGTGGACCTTCAACCTTTCCACGTCCGTCTCTACTGCCTGTTTCCGAAGATTTTCCCGAAGATTTCCGCTGGTTCTTCATTTGAGGTGCTGGTAGTCATACATACTGGAAGGTTTGCTACGTACTCTTGTCGTGCAATTTCACACGGCCACCTGAAAGACTCCAAGAACCTTTTCTTCAAGGCTGCTGGAAGAGCTTGGTCCACTTTATTTTGCATTTGACCTTTGCCGTTGGACCTTCTTCTTCAGAAAACACAATAGGATGGGATCACCATAGACGTTCCCATTTGCAATTACTTGGTTTAATGATTTCGGAAGAAGTTAGATCCGCCAAGTGAACACCTCCGACGGAAATTACACTCGCCACACTACACTCCGATACAATGTTCAAATTTGTAGCTTCCGATGGGACTGGATCCATCAAGAGGCAACAAGCGCAAAAAGCATGTGACTCTTGCAGGAAGCGGAAAAAGCGATGTAATCATGGTAGCAATGCGACTTCAACGAACTCTTCGCCTGTAAGAGCATCTAGCCAAGTCAACCCCGATGACCGGGTTTCTCAAGCAGCCAAGCCATATACTGCAAGTGTCCTCTCTTGCACCACAGATGCCGGATATCAAAGCACAACGTCTCATGAGGAGCCTGGTCATATATCTCCTGTTGCATCAAATTTAGCAAGTAGTGATCAAGACCTTGAAGCTGCTAGGATATTGAGCGGTGGTACTCGTACTCAAGCAAACACGTCTCACTCCCAAGAACCTACTGGTGTTCAGTCACGATTCATTGGAGATTTGAACCCTGAATCAATTTTTCTGGCTGCCACCAGTCCAGATGCCATTCGTGGCGTATTGCCGGACAGCGTTGGGGTATACCTCTCTTCAACACTCGGGAAAAAGCCTCACCATTTCTCGAATTTACAACAGACAAGCTCCAACCTATTTTATGGATGTCCGCCTTTGGTCCGTAATGTTCTGGTGCCTCTCATAGAACAGGAGTGTCTATCTACGATGCCACCTAAACCCCATCTTGAAGCATTGTCTCGCATATATTTTGAGAAGATTAACACCATCTTTCCCATCATCAACGAGGCCATGTTCCGCAATCTAGCCCCTACAGTCCCTTGTCGAGCTTTATTGGAACAGGCGATTTGCTTGGCAGCATCCAAGAGTTTCGCTGCTGCGGGTCATCTCATACTAGACGAAGCAGGCCCCCCGATGACCTGCAAAGCGTTCGGCGAAAAGGTGTCCGGTGCAATGAGGTTGACCATTGAACTAGGCATCGTGACCGACAAAATTGTCCTGATTCAAGCCCTCTGTCTCCTCTCTCTATTCATCGATAATTCCAGCAGTGAGGATCTTGCATCTCAATTCTCTGGAAAAGCTACTCATTACCTTGAAGGCATGGGATTGCATCTCCAAGGTCAGGTGGAGGATGCAAGTGCAAAGCTTCTTTGTTGCGTATATGCGTTAGATCGCATGAATGCTGCATTCCATGGCCGTCCTGTCTTGATGCATGAACGAGACATGAGGAGAGATCTTCACCAATGCTTTAATCAGCAAGAATCTTCCTTCCGTCTATTTCTAAGAATGATATCACTACTTGACGATGTCATCGAGATATATCGACCTCCGAACCAATCAGAACAAGGCGGTATGGATGTTCGATTCCCTGCTTTTGAAGAGATAGTTCTGGATTGCGCGGCTGCACATATTGGTACTTCCTCTCTTGGTATGTTATCCTCTAATCACCTTACTTCTCCTGCTGGGATTTTAGATATTCTGGGCAGTAGTCCAATGACCTGAGTTCTCTAAGTTTTTGTTTCGCTCGAAATATTGAGTTCTTGTGGAATCATACAATTGTTTGAATATTCTGAAGTGGTTGACTTTTGCGCATCACATGACTGCTTGAAAGATTTGATTTCGAATCGACGCTGATCATTGAATGTCATCCAAACTTTCAAACCAAGTATACCAGCCGGGAAGATTGAATGGCTATATTAAGTTTTTTTCACGCTTAGTGTTTACTTTGAATGATATTTTTACTCATGTAGTGTCTAGCAACGATTGAAATTTTCTATCACAGCATCTCTATCATCTCTCATCGATCCCATATTTGGTCCGAACCCAAGCGTTCCACACCCTCTTACCTTCGACAAGCCCTCTCAACCAGTATTCTCTCATCGACCACTCCTCACGAGCTACAGGACCAGCTTGTTTTATTTCCTTTCGTGCCATACGCCATATCGCTTTCTTTGAGTATTGCTTATCGAGAAATGCGCCACAACAAACTACCTGTCCATCGGATGCGCGCTCGAGGTCAATTCCAAGCTAGTTGTAGACTTTTGGAAGGCCTTGAAAGTCAGTACTGTACAGCTGCTAACGCTGCAAATATGGGAAAGAAAATGCTAAGGGAAATCGATCGAGTATTTTCTACCGTCTCCTCGGAAAATAAAATCACGGCTCCACATCAAGATGTCAGTAACACCACCGAGAACAATTCAACAGTCAATAGTCACAGTACTTCAATGACAACTACTGAGAATCGTAAGCCCTACACTTTTCACTTCTGTATGACTTGCTTCTGCTATGAGCATTCTCTCCCAAACATATTAGGTCGTCCGGCCGATTCATTGTTCGCAAGCAATCTAAGAGAACATTATCATCTTTCGAACAAACTCATTGTCATGTTTCATTTCAAACTCAAAATCTAACCTTCCAAATAGAACCTGTTGCGCCCACTTCTAACGC